AAACAATTTGGATTCAAATGCAAAGGATCTGGTGGAAATCTAAGAGCTGCACTTAACGAAGACCGGTTCTTTATTATGCAGGCTTTCCAGGGTGATGTGGGACTCTAATCATGGTTGAGCTTGGCTGGTTATATGTCTTTAGTGAGTGCTCTCCTTCCTCAGATCCTAACCTGAATTATGATAGGCAGTGAAGGAAGGGTGCGCTAAATTCTTCCCATTTTGGAGCTGTTGTAAGAGCCGTCATGCACACGAATAGCCTGGACTTTGCAGGATGGGCTGGAAGGAAGGGGCAGAGAGCTGCCCTGCTGCTTTCAAGGCACCCTGAGGATCCCTTGTAAGCAGAAAGATTCTGAGAGAACCAAATTGTCCCAGAGCAGCTAGGATGAAGCTAAGCTTTTGGTCGTTATTGCTGACTTATAGGCCAGGCCAGTTCTTGCTGTTTTTTTGGTTGAAGGCATGCCTAGACAAAGGAGTCGTTGCGATAGGTACTGTACAGAGAAGTAGTAAGTCACAGTCTGCTCTGAAATCCTAGAGCCTAATTAGAGTAGGCAGACAAAGACTGAGAGAACGACAGGGTTGTTCCTCACTGCCTTTGCTATTAGCTGATCCGATTCCCTTCATCATAGAAAACCTTAGTTTCGCAACCTAATAAAAGTCATAGGATCTGATTCTCCATCCTGGTATATGCTCTTCTGCTAGTGACTATCTGCAAAACTGAGTAGAATTGCCTCAGCCTCCCATCGCCATCCCAGGACCTATGGCACTGGCTGAGCTTCAGGGACCTTCAGAGTGCTCACCCCTGCTGACAGCGCACTTTCACTGCTCCAAACCAGATGCCTAATTTCAGCACTGCCCTTTCTCACCAAGAAAGAGTCCCTAACTCCTACTCGATATATACCTCTCTCGAAAAGGGGCTGCTTATATGCAGCCTACAGGAGATTTTAATAACACAGACTGTTCTTTTCCAAGCCAGAGAGCTTTTATTAGTCAGCCAGAGCCAGGTTATTTTAGTGTCCTCAGGCTGGAATGTAAATGCAAAGCTTGCATGTATCCCGGCAGCATTACCTGTCCCGCTGGTCCCAAACATACAGGATTTCACCTTTGTCCCTGCACAGAGGGGCTGCATTTTTTTTGCAGTGTACTGACAACTTTATTCTGTGTTTCCAGCCTTACTATTTGCAGTATGCTCTGCCTCCCTTGGCTGGCAGTTATTCCTGTCTGCTCCTTGTTTTTTCCCCAGCATCTTTGAAATCCCTGCATATGCTGATGGCTTTATATCATTAATACCGATCTAGACAAGCCTGTGTGACCTTTCACTCTCATGTCCAAAGGGAAGAATTGACCCTTGCAGTCAGTCACAATACAACTCTGAGTCATGCATACTTTTCATAAAAATAATGCAGAAATTCCCCATAGTTTTCACAGCTATTATTTCAGGGGATGAAGTGTAGGTCTTCTGTAGCAACACAGCTTGGGAAAACTATGAAGCATGTAACATCAGATAATTAATCTTTCTGACATATAATGTACTTTTTACTATTAATGCTGTCTGTTTATATTTTTTCTCTTCATGTATCTCACTCAGTGAAACTCAGCTGGTCTGTTTAAGATTCATTTGAACTCATTTGCTGTCCAATCTTATTCCCGCCCTTGTCTATTCTCCAGTTAGACTGCAAATCTTTCGGGAGAGGGTTGGGGTTTCTTCCATCTCTGTGGCTCTACAGTGACTGGCAAAATGGGGCCATACTTGCCTTTTTGTCTCTGATATGAATAATGCTCTCTGGTTTTCCTACATAAGATGAAAGATTTTGTGTCTGGATATGTTAGTACCATATTGAAAACAAAGAAACAAATATCTCTAAGTTAAAAGTTCCTTAAAAAAATTAACTAAAATTCACAATAAGTCAGATTCACTCCAATGAAGACTAACGGCAAAACCAACCACCCCACCAAAAGTAATTTCAGGGAAACTGTTTTCCACTGAAATATGACTGACATAAAGAATTATTGTTTCTTTACTTTCCAGTATTTTATTATTTGTCACATTCTTCCCTGCAGAATTAAAGTCGGGGTGAGGCCTCAAGGTCCCAGTACTTGACTACTGATGTTTCTAGTGAATGACTAGGGGATGGGTTTTTGATCGTGCTTGGTATAGTGAAGCCAAAGGTGAGAAGCAAACTTTCCTAAAGTAAGGAGGTGCCCAACTGCTTCTTCTAAATTATTATCTTTCTTAAGGCAAAAGATGCGTATTTAAAATGTTTAAGATAAATATAATGAAACAGCTAGACTGCAAGTAGCATAACTCCTGCAAAACTGTGCAAAGAATGAGTTTGACCCACTAACTTGGCAGCTTCTCTGGTCGTTAAACGTATTAGGCTCTCAAGCCCCTTTTTTCCTCTTAGGAAAACTTACATTTTAATCTTATAACCCGACCTGACAGTATCACTGAAAGCCAAATATTTAATATTCAAAGATTTATGGTTGTTTTCAGTCTTACAGGAAGATGGAAACTGAGTTTATCTCCAGCCAGATTTTCTATCTTGATTGCTGAGATGTGTGGTATTTTTTTTGTTAATAAGGGAAAATTTGTGGTGTGCTTATTCCATTGGTTGGAGTAGTTTTTTTGCATAAAGAAAACCTGTGCCATGGTGACAATTTGCTATCACACAGCTGTGCTCTTCCTCCCTGTAAACTCCTTGGACTTAGTGAACATCCCTGGTTTGATATAGGGGGAATCTGACTTAGCTCTGCTGAAGCTCAAGTGTTTTTGGAAGAGCTGTTAATCTTTGATCAACTGGAGTCTCCTTGTTAATGACTTTGATTACACAAGAGTACAACTTTAATTACAGCTTTTAATAAGCTTTCCTTTCTTCCTAGTCACATTCTTTACACAGTATATGCAGCTTATCTTTTTCTTTCTCCTCTGTTCCCATTCCTTCCCCTCACCCCTCTTCTGGAAAAAAGGGATTTGAGGTCATTGCTGGGGATTCTGTGTCTAGAGAGACCCCTCCATATGTCCTCTGCCCATGGCTCACCCCTCTGCCCGCTCGTATGGTCCAGAGACCTCTGTCCTTTGGCTCCCCTGCAAAGATCCATACCAGGCACTGTCCAGGAGCCCAAGGATGACAGGGGGAGAAAAGCGCTGTAAGATGCGAGAGTCACTGCAAATGCAGTCTGCTGCAGGAAACAAAAACAACTGAACAATCCTCAGAAAATCTGATGCAGCCCAAGGATGTACTGATTCCTGTATGTAACCCCTGCCTGTTGAGGACGGCCCTCCTCTGTCCCTTGGGGACACTCTGAAATGCAGCTGCTGAAGTGAGAGTGGCAGAGAGCAGCAGAAAGCCAGAGGGCTGTGGTGTCCAGCCATGGTGCTTGTTCTACACCCAGGGTCTCAGAGAAATGATCTGGTGGAAACTTTGGGAAAGGTATATGGACTTACCATAGTAAATAACTGAGGTTGTGGCTTAAAACAAGCACGAATTAGAAAGGTCCATCAAGGCCTATTAAACATGATGTCCCCAGTATTGGGTAACCTGAGACTTGGGGAAATAAGGTTCTGATCATCAGAAGTGAGGAGGAGATACTGGAGAATCCTCCGTCTGTATTCTGCCATGTTGTTATTCTTCCATATGCCTCTGTTATTGACCCCTGTCAGTGAGAGGATATTGGGCCATACAGTATGGCCAATGGAAGTCACGAGGTGGAATTGAAAGGTCACTAAAAAGATGTGAGTCATTCAGAAAATGGACACAGATGGTAAAACAGAATAATTTGCACCAATTTGATATTCAGAGGTGTACAAAGGGAGTATACTGCTAAAATGCCAATTGTGCCTGATGGAAATGGGTAGCAGGGAAAACAGCTAATAGAAGAGAACAGGAAAGGGAGCCTCTTTTGTCTCTCTGCACATGCATCCCTTTAGCTCCCTTGCTGTGCGTGTTACACTCTTTTTGCACACTGATGAATATCAGAGTCAGAGTAAGTTGTGCTGTGTATCGCTCTACTCCTGATTTCTAAAGAACTTAGCCTGATGGGTAGCTTTCCCAGCCATCCATGTCATAACAGTTTCACGTTGACAATAGATCAGGAATGAAGTTCAGCAGTGTGGCCCACCCACTTTGCAATACACCAGCATGACAGTCGCTCTACGTTGATGCTTTTCCATCTTTAGAAAAATTTGGATGGAGGATTTGGGAATCTGCAGCAGGCAGAGTTTTAAAATCTTTCTGTAGGGAAGAGGAGGATTCTACAAAATTTTTGAACAAATGCTTATTTATGAAATAAGTGACATTAGAACTGTTCCTTCCACTAGGCTTCAGAACAAAAGGTTTGCCTTGCTGGATCTTACCAGTGGCTGTTGTATCCTGCTGCTTTTGGTGCTTTAAACCTGACTGTGAAAAGCTGCGGAAGTGTAAAGAGAACATATGTGTTCTGACCATTACAGATATGACCCTAGCTGTTGATGTGGGTGTTTTCATGCCTAAGAAGCACACAACATCAGAACTATGTATGTCCTTTGCTCTCATGGGCTCTCTGACATCAAAAATGCAAAAATGAAGTTCTTCTAAACGTGGTCAGCATTCTGGTTGCTCAAAATATGCTGCAGGAGTTGTTATAACACGGATTGAAAAGACTGATTTTCTGACTGGGCTGGATAAATTACAGGGGAAGACAAACGGAAGAGCAGGGTCACCATGGCGTTTATATTGCCTGACTCTGGGTCGTGGGCCAGTGTGGTTGCACCATTTGCTTATTTAGTAGCTATACTACTACGGAAAAGATCTGTGTCCAGGTCCTGAGAGTCTGATCTTTTAATGGCACTTTCTGCATGATCTGCTTCAGCGGTGTCTTGTGTCAGCGAGCTCTTCATGTGTTCGAAGAAAGTATTTGTATTTCTGCTCATCCATTTTTAAATGAATGTTGTGTCTCCTTTTTCTTGGCCTTGTTTGGGGGGACAGTGCAATATTTCTTAATCTCTGCCCTGTCTCTTTTGACAGACTCGGAGACCAGTTCTACAAAGAAGCGATTGAGCACTGTCGCAGCTACAACTCTCGGCTGTGTGCTGAACGAAGTGTCCGCCTTCCCTTCCTGGATTCACAAACTGGGGTAGCTCAGAACAACTGCTACATCTGGATGGAGAAGAGGCACAGGGGACCAGGTTGGTACTGTTGTGTCTGTGTATGCATGTGCATGTATGGAGGGCAGGCTGCTGAGCCCTCATGGGGTTTAATTAATAGAAATTCAAACCTGTTATAGGCCAAACAGAAGAGAAGCTACCTAAACCTCTTTGCCTGCAGGGGATTTCCTTTGGTAACTGCAGAGAGCAGATCCTAATTATTCTCTCTCTACCCAAAGAAGTGATTACCTGACACGGTAGTTTCTAAGGCTGCATCATTGCAGCTCTTTTAATGCTACGGATTCCAGTCTGTAGCAGAAGACAAAATCCTCTGCTCTAAACAGGATTGGAATTATCTTCAGGGTGGACTGGTGGAGGTCGGAGTGTCTTAGATGGATGCTGAAAATAAGAAATTATATTGGGAAGAATACGCAGCATAGGTGAAATACGGAAGAGTCCAGCTATTGGGATGAATGTTGTTCTGATGGCTGCAGATGTAGGTGTAACTCCTATTTCTGCTTTGAAAAGTTATTTGGGTATCCGCTCTGGAGCCTGAGTTTCCTCAAGTGCAAGAGTTTGGTATGTGTCCTTAAAGAGCTTTTGCTAAGCCCTGTTCCAAAGCTCAATGAAGCTGAAGGGGAAAGACCACCACTTTTTTTGCAGACTTTGGTCAAAATTTCTTTTGTTAGAGTAAATCTATCTGAAATTCTTGTTTTGAAGGCAAAGCACAGTCACCATTTCAAAGGCTGCAGATGTTATTTACACAGAACTCCCCTGAGATCCAGAGGGAATTTTGATAGAGTATGGCTCAGTATGTGACCCACAATTAGCTCAGGGAACTGATCTTTTTGACAGCATCAAACTGGGTCTTTTATTTTATTTTATTTATTTATTTTTTTAGAGTGCACACCAGAGGGTTCAGGCAGGAAGAGGGCTAGGATGCAAGGATGAATGGGCACTGGCCAAAGGATGTGCATATGTGTGCAAGAATACGTGCCAGTTCCTGTAAACTACACTGAAAAAAATAACAAGCAGCAACGATCTTCAGGTCTGGGAAGGGGCAGTCTCCTATTGTCTCTTCGAGCGGCCAGTTTGCAGGAAGTGGGGTAGGAGGAGCACACAGGATTTCTGGAGGCAGACTAAGAAAGCAATTGCTGCACCTAAACAGGTGCTTAGCTGAAAGTTACCCTCTCCCTTTCACAGGGATATATTGAGGAAAAGATCCTTGCACTGCCCCTATTCCTTAAAATATCTGAAGTAGATTTAGGGCCTAAGTCTTACAGTGCTGTCTGAAAACACTTTCTGTAGTAAAATTCAGCCACTTCTGGTGTGAGAGACAGCAGGTGTTTTACCAGCACTAAAAATACCCTAAGAATACTTCAGCTGCCAAAACTACTGGGGGAATCTGGGACTGCTAAATGTGGTTTATGAGCTGGAAGTTTTCTGAGGTTCTGGGCTAACCCTTCTTTCACAGGTTCCTTTGTGACTACAGTTTTTTGTTTTTTTTTTAATATGAAAATTCCCCATTCTTAAGAGATTATGCTCTGGCAACATGAGCTTTTCATTTTTTGGTAATCTGTTTACCCAGGGAATTTCTGTTCTTATAGCATCAGGTTATGAGTAAGGTGCTGCTATTTTTATTCTTTTGAACTCAGTCATAAGCAAATATACATCCACTACATGCACAAGTAATGTTTTGCGAGGAGCCTCTGCTGCAAGGATAGGCATAGATAGTCTTGTGTAGGTCTCATTGGTGCCTCTGCTCTTGCAGGAGAAATCATTACAAAGTGTTAAGTCATCAAATCAGGAATCAAGAGATCTAAATACTTTGCCTTTGTGGTCACTAGCTCTCTAGACTACCCCTTAGCAAATTATCTGTGCAAATCTTTCTTTTCTCACCTATGATACTGGACTGTTCTACGACTTCCTCTACCAAAGGGGATCAGTAGCATTTCTTCTGCAGGGCTGCGGTGGAGACTAATGGTGGAACATTCTTCCCAGAGTATCTTAAGTGAATCAAGCTCCTTGCATCTGCTTCGGTGACCAAATCTGACTCCTTTGTTATTTTGAATTAGAATAATCAGTGCAAAATGAAGCAGCCCTCCTCTCTCATATTTGCTTGCTCTTTCTTGATTTTTATTACCCCATTTAGTGCTCTCTCGGGTCTCTTTACATCATCTATTTCTTGTGGTACCATTATGGTAGGTCAAAGCATCCCTCTGTATTTTAGCACGACTGTTTTTAGGCTGTACCCAAAGCGCTTATGCCCATACTGAATAGCTCTGAAAATTCTCTGCCGCCCACTCTGGTGTCTGGCTTGTGTGCTGTGTTCGCTGCCATCTACCATCCCTAACCTGAAAACTGTATAAAGGCAAATGGAAAAGCTCCAGGACCTCTTTTCACTTACAGAGGTTTTACAAGACAGAAAGGAGAGTCAGAATCTCAGCATACTAACCTGATTTCTTGCTGTCCTCTTTGTTAAAGGAGTCAGAAAACTGCATCTCATGATAAACAGTTCAGGGTTAATTTCACACAATACTGCACATAACTCCCTCCCTCTTTTCCCCTCCTCCCCCAGCCTTTCACACAAGCTTTGAGTTATGACTCTCCTACACTAATGAGATAAACAACATAACTCACTGCAGGTTCTGCTATTTCCTCTATAAGCAAATGATTGGAACCTTCTCTGGTTGCCCTATAAGGCACCAGAGGGAGAGAGAACTGAGCCAGGACTGAAGACAGCAAGACTTGTATATGCATTATTTCCATGTGCACTGCAAGACCCACTGTGGAGGGGCTAGTTTCAAAGTGTTCGGAACAGACCCTTTTCTTGTTGCCCCTCCTCTATGTAAGCAATCAAAGGTCCACGCTTTATGTGAGCCATCACAGTGGTAGGTGGGGGTCAGCGTTGAGAACTGACGATAGTATTTGATGGATTCGGATCAAGTGAAGGTATGGTATTGATTAAGTTCACTGGATGCTGCCTATTAATGAACAAAGGTATTGTGAATAGGAATAGAGTGCTTTCTTCAAGGACTGCAGAGATGGATGTTGAAGGTCTGTGGAACTTATGGGTCTATCTGCCATCTGGAGTGGGCTGGAGGTGCTCTGGGGAAGATGCTTTCCCACCTCTGTCTTTTTGTGGATACCTGCTTTGTTTCCCGTTGGGCTTTCGGCATGTTGTGGTTGAGTTTCACAGTCCTGACTGAATACAGAGCTGCTGATTCATATGAGAATGCTCAATAATTGAACCAACACTGACAGATACTTGCTGAAAACTTCAGTGAATTCTTGTTCCTCCCTGTCTGGGACAACTGTTCAAAGCTGCCTTTTGTGCTTGTTTCGTTCAAAGGACTCTTCTGTAGAGGCCTGTGCAGTGGAGGGCTGATTCTCTATCCCATTGCTTTGGCCTAGCAGCCCCCTATTTCAATGTTAGGATCAAGTTCTTACACAGGACCTGCTGTAAAAGGGTGAGGCTCCTTGCCTCCACCTCTTTAATGACTCACACCAGACAGGCACAATCCACCGCATCATAATAGCAATTGTTCACAGTGGTTAATGTTTGCAGAGTGCCGTGAAAAGTGTGTCAAGCACTGTAAAAGTTCTAATTATTCATGAGTTTTTATTCCCAAACCGGTCACAGGCTAGGTATGTCCTGCTCTGAAATCTATCTTTCTTTGGGGTGGGCATAATGCCCAGCAAGCTGTGCAGCAGTATGACGAGAGTCCCAGTCCACAAGTCCCAGTCCAGTCCTGCTCTGTACCCTGGAACAGCCGGGAACTCTGCAAATACTCCTTCTCCCAGCCATACCCAGGCAATGTGTGTTGTGGATGCTCCGTTTATGCACTAGGGCCTGAAAGTGGGTGGGGCGTGCTGGGGTTTGAACTGGCATTCCCAACAGCCAAAATATTTAAAACCGAGAACTTAGGCTTCACTTGCAGAATTTGATTAGCCTGTTCTCTTGAGGTGAATAATTTTGTTGTTGTTTCTCTCTCTCTCTCTCTCTCTCTCTCTCTCTCTCTTTTTTTTTTTTGCCAAGTAACAGGATATCATTTATTTTCATTATCCTCATCTGGTTCAATGAGTCAGTCTTGTTCCTAGGCTGGTATGCTTTCCTGACTGTTTCAGAAGGGCTGGCTGAGAACTTGGGCCATCCTGCTGCCCTTGAGCTGTTCTGCTTTAGTAAGACTGCCTCGATGCTGTCCAGCCATTCACAGTTAGTACTGTTTCAGAGATGGTAACGCCACTCCTTTCCTATCTATTGTGCGGTCTTAGCTGTTTTCTAAGGGCAATGAGTCTGCAAAGGCCGTTCTACTCTTTTGCCCCTTCAAGACTAGCAGCAACTACATAAGGACAGAAGAGCCAAAGCAGAAGCAGTGAATGGAGAGGGCAGAGGAAGCAGGGGAGGGAATGACATTCTTCCAAAATTTCTGGGTCTTACTGGGTATTTCTGTGTGTCCTGAGCAACTAGGGGAGCTAACAATGCTCATTAGCACTTGGCACTGTATTTCCCCTAGTACTGATGCATTCATGAAGCCTTACTATGTTCTGAATACAACAGAGAGCAAAGTGTAGCTTGAACACTGGCTAAGGGTTGTCTGTCATGAGATCCAGAGCAGCTCAGACACAGGCCAGTGATGCCAAATGTGATTCAATAGAGCATTCAGTAATATAAACATTATTGCTGTTATCTCCTCCCTCCTTTGAGGTGTGTGCATGAGGAAGGTAATAATGAGACAGAAGAATCTGTCTTTAGATAAAAGTCAAGCATTTAAGCAAAAATCCTGAGTCCAAACAGCCACACTTGATGGGCCTTAGCTTCCTCCAGCTCCGGAGACAAATTTTATGAACTGGTCTCTGCACCAGGGCCCTATGATTTGCCTGTTGGAACTTTATCTCTTCTCTCCCAAGGGGCCCTCTCTGCCTATCGAGGAGGCATCGCCCCTGTGACCCAGGAGAGCCTGAAATTCTATTTACGCTGAAGAAATCACAAATTATTTATGAGAAGCTCTGGTTTCAGTGAGCAGAGTGACGTGTGTGAGTGAGACCTAGATTCTCTGTAGGCCTGATCCCATGAGGTGCTGATGAGCCTCTGGAGTGCTGTATGCCTTGATTGCATAGTTCTGTCTCACAATTTGTGGGACTGAACCCTACAACAAGGAGATCCTGAGAGGGCAAGAACAAAGATGCTTGAGACATTGCTTGTGGTTTACAAACTGAAATGTGATTGTATTTATTTTTTGCCTTTTATCTTCAGGCCTGGCCCCAGGTCAGCTGTACACATACCCGGCACGTTGCTGGCGCAAAAAGAGGCGTTTGCATCCCCCCGAGGATTCCAGGCTGAAGCTACTGGAAATTAAACCTGGTAGGTACTTGTTTGTCTCTTGCCTGTGCTGCAGAGCAGCTGGCATACATGCAACCTGGCATTTAGAACTTGGACTACATGTTTGCCCCTTTCCATCCATTTCTCTTTGCATTTGTTGCATCTTATTTAATTTGCTGTAATGATAACCACCAAAACCACTGTGCTCAACTCACCCCTTACAGAAATAGGTACAACTTGTATTGAATGCAATGGGAGCTTCTGTAGAAATGAGTCCTGGCCTCTGCTAATGAATTCATAATGATGTAAAGTATCAATTTATTTCTAATTATTGCCTCGGTATGTTAGTAATAAAAAAATCTTACTCTGGCATCTGCTGCCTACTCTTTGCGAGGAATACTGCTATATGTACAGCAGTCTTATGTACTGATAAGATTTTCCTTAACAGGGCTGGGAGCAAAGGGTGTTACTGGATTCTAAACAGCAAATAATAATAATTAGAGAGGATATGCCACATTTGTATATGTATATTTGCCAACAGGTGTACCTTAGTCCTCAGGTAGGTCTACCTGGGTCCAGTTCTTTCATTCTTGTCCTTGGTACACTTTCCCCACCATAAACTATGGGAAGTGATGAGTCTGGATGCTGAATGAATGACTGTAAAGCAGATGCAAAGGAGCTGCAGCTGTGTCAGGTAGAGCGTAGTGTGGTGCTTTCTTCCCTGCAGTTAGCAGTAAAGGCTTGCTGTCTTTGGGGTCAGCTATTAAGAGAAAGAGAGAACTTACAGCTGTATGTGATTTTCCAGAGGTGAGACATGGCCAGTATGAACAGTACAGAAGAAAACCCCCAAATGTAAATTAAGAATATTAAAAAAAACTATTTGACAGAAAAAGGTGTCTGGGAACTGAGCTATGCACAAGAATACTGATGACTTTGCTTCCATGCAGTGCTTAGTGAAGAGAGAGGAAGAGAAGATAAAGAGACAATTTATAACCCCAGTAAAGTCAGAGCCAAAATTCTTGTTGATTTTGGCAGAAACTGGTTTCTGAAGGCTCCCTATCTTCAAGATAGGAGATGTCAACAGGCGGTTGGACAAGAGGAAGAAATGCCTTTAACCACTCAGTTGGGGGTCAGATCAAGCACAAAATCTCGGTCAGCAAATAGAACCAGATCTTGTAGCAGAGTCAGTCAGAAAGAACTGTTGAAATCAGTCAGGTTACACTGGTGGAAATGAGACTGAGCTCTAGGAAGAGGGTGGTATGGTGCTATAGAAATTTCTGCATGAGATTTTGGGATGATGCAAACAGTGTTGTGCCTTGGCGATTTAGTAAGGTAAAGCAGTAGTGTAGAGTTTGATGCTTCTTTGTTTGCGTTATACTTTTTTTGCTGTACTCACTGAATGCCAAATTAGTGCATCCTACATGCCACAGGGCATGAAAGGCAATTACCACAAAGTTATCAGATAAAGAGACCTCAGCATGTCCATGTCTCTGTTGTTTTTCCTGCTATAAACATCTCTTCTGCATCTCAGGAGTGCTATTTCCGTTGCATTGCCAGTGGCAGCCAAATAAGGGAATTTACATTGCCCTGCCATTTAAATCTATTTTCCAACCAATTTCTATCTAGTGATTAACTTTCCTTATAAGGAACACTGCAAAATAATTTCACTCCATCTGTGAATATCCAAAATAGACTCACTAACCAAAAAAGGGATTTTCCCTTTGCTGATTTAAAAGTATAAAACCTATGGAAAACATTGGAACTCCATTCACAAGCTTTTGACAGTTCTGAGGAAAACATAGGGTATTTTGTTTTCAACATGGACAGCCGAAGTACTGTACATTTGGGGGAGAGGGCTACTGTGTTGAAACCTGATGCTGAACCTAGGAATCAAATTATTTTCTGACTGCCTCAGAGATCTCTTTATTCCTAAGTTAAGCATGAGGTGACTATGTGGAGCACAGATGTGGTAATTCAAGATCCAGAAAGAAGCATAGAGATGAGGAATAAAAAATATCTCAAATAAATTTTGAAGAAATCGTGGTTTTACTATGCCTAGGTCTTGGACATGCTAGTCATGGCTTAGAGTCGTTCTCAGCAACTAGCCACAGTTTGCCATGCTTGCGCTGGGTTAATGCGTTGATAGCTGATTTTTACATAGGAGGCTGTTGAACTGCTTATGCATGAGTACTACAATATATGCAAGCAGTGCAATTCTACACCATCAAATTCTGGCTAAACCTTAGTTCTATTATGTTTTACTTCTATTAAATATTCAGAAGGACTTCTAGTAAGATTGCCAATGTAACAAACAAAGAAGGGGATCTTATCTCCAAAAATTTCCCATCCAGCAGTCAGTAGGATCAGCACAGGTGGATGTGCATACTTTGTTGGATTGCATCTGGGCTTTTGATGTGGCTTATTATAGAGATAAGTTGGGACTTCTGCATGATTCAGGAGATACATAGGCCTAGGATTTTTTTTTGGAAGGCAGCTGGTCGGTAAGCAGAATCAAACTACTGTGTTGCAAGCAGGGCAACAGTTCAAGAATATAATAAATCGTTTAGTAATAATACAGTAGTTATAGTTATAACCTATGTTTGCAGTGTTGGCACCTTGAAGTTACAGGTAGCATGTTTAGTAATACCAAACCTAATGAAGAAAATAAACATGTTCTAACACAGTCTTCTGTTTTTGTAAAGTGCAAGTGCACTACAATATTTTTTTGGGTCAGTTTCTGCTTGCTTCTTAATAGAACAGGATGCTTTTATTGACTAGGTCTATTGTTCTTATTTGTGAAATGTTTTGTTTTAAGAATAGTTACAGCCAAAGTTGTAAAGATCAGAACACTGGAAAAGAAGTTGCTCATGCAGTCTTTGAATGTCCGTTGTCTTCTGCCATTTTACTCTGAGTTAAGTGCATGGATTGCCCTGGTAAAATTGTTTGATCAAGGATCTAGCAATTTTCATGTTAATACTATTTCTAAGCATCCTGCATCCCATCCAATAGGTATGTGGCAGAAATACAGTATTGCTCAAGCTTAACTTACAATAACTACTTCAGTGACAGTACAGTCAATATTATTACTAGGGCCTTATGCATTACACAGAGTATTCCTGATATTTAATTACCCGTAGGCTGATCTTCATCTTTCAGTGGTACATCCATATCATATCTTCAGAACCAATTGTTATGGCTCAACAGCAGCCAAGTTTTCATCGCTGTAATGGATTCAGGCTGTTACATGAGTCATTATAATATAGCAACTAAGACTCCTATGAACAGTGGTGTAGATTTGAAATAAATCCCCAGTCATGGGCAGTATGTTAATATGTTGGTAAAACTGTGATTTTCTGGGTACATGATGCTAAATTTATTAGGTGTTATTACTCTCATAGTATTCATAAGGCTAGTCCTATACCTTGTTCTGTGCCACCAAGTATGGGTAAGTCTGATTCCCTGCGTAACTGGGGAGTGGTATTTGCATGGCATTTCAGTGGGGATGGATGGAAGGACAGGAAGCAGGGCATGCTTCCGCACTCACTCCTCCACTGGCTCTTCTCCTTCTGCCTGGTAAAAGGGCCTGAGCAGAGCTCCTGTGCATGGGAAGTCTGTGAGTCTGGGAAGGGGAATGGGTGAGGGAGATGAGTGGGCTGGTCTACATAGCCCATGATTCCAGAGGAGCAGGAGGATATCTGAGCAGCTGGAAAGATGAGAGTTCAAAATGGAAAAGACGTACCTGATTACACCCAAAGTCCCTTGAAATCTGAATTGCTCCTTGTCCAAAATGTTAATTGGTTTTGTGGCACTGGGTGATACCACGATTCTGTGTTGGGTCAGGTATCAACACTGTGAAAGCGGTATTACTCAGAGTAAACCCTGCTGACAGTCAAGGTATTACACAAGCTTTGCAGCTATGTAGATGAGAGCAGATAGGGTGCCTATGGCCAAGAACTCTGGTGGAATTTAAATTGGTAGTGTCCTACTTCAGTGCTACAAGATGGCTGAATATAGATAGATTCGTACATACATACATACACACACACACACACACGCACACAGAGCTTTAAAGACTTTCATGTGCTGTGTAAGTGTAAAGAATATGACTGGAAAGGTCTTGTTTCAGCTCATTCCTGTCCTTTGATTTTGGACTGAAATCCAACAGTGAGGTCTCATAGCTGGCAGCCTTCCCACCCATTTGATGGGTGTGGAGTACAGTTTGTGTGTGCTGTTATTCTAGTGAGAATGAGCTGGTGTACTGTGCTAGTGTATGTCTTGTTACTTCTCTCTGGGCAGTTTAGCATTTAGCTGAACTATAGAAAATGTTTTTTTTTAAGTGGCTGTTGAAGAGGTAAAAATAGCCAAAAAGTATTTTTCAGTTGCCTTGATGAACTTTGATGGAAACCTTCAAAGCAAGAACTGCTACCAGATTTTTAGATGCCACTTAAGCAATGCCTGACTTTTTTTTAATCTGACATATGGGATATACCCATGTGAGTATGTTTGGGAATGAGTGAATGGAGTCCTTATGGATAAACTGTTGCCTCTTTCAAGCATCTCAATGTGCCCTGTGGATACTATGTCTGATTGTATAAGACATCGTGTTTCTCATGGTAAGCCATGAGTGTCCTCAGCTCTTGTGGACTGTGCTCAGCAGATCTTTGGAGGTCAGTGCTCTTTAAAATGGTGCTTTTTATTTGCCAGGAAGTTAAAAAGCAAAGGGCAAAATTATCATTAGTATCACTTGTTGTATGATAGCATCTAGACATTCAAGCAACGTGTTACACCAACATCCTGGGGATGTTGTACAGGTTTTTTATATGAGACCATAGGAGAGCTTACAATCCAAACTTACAAAATATACAAAGGAAGTATTTTTTTTATAAAATGGACAAATGAGCCACAAAGATAATGAATTACTTGCACGAAGGTCCAACAGGGGGTATGTGGTAGAGCTGAACACAGAAAAGACTCAGTTCAAAGTTCCGTCTACTTTTTTCTTTCCCCCGTTGACATGTCTAGTGTCACTCAAAGGTATTTGG